ACCTTTCGCTCGATATATATACAGGATGGTGCAAAAGTAACATGACAAATAATTTTTTCGATTTTTTTTGAACATAACAAGTTAGATCTCATATTTATACCACGTATACTAGGCAGTGGCGTAACGAGGATTTTTAGACCAATGGGCAAACTTCGCTTGTACTAGAACAAAATGATGGGCCAAAACTTTTTTGACCCAACCAAGTACTGATAACGTAAAACAAAAAAACACAAAAAAATCAAATGAGGTTCTTTTAATCAAATATGCACAAAACTCAGGTCTTAAGCCCTCTTTCTCCCGCCCTCAAAAAAAGTCAATTTTCGTCAAAAATATGAAAACTGAGATAAGTGTGTGAGAACATAGTCCGAAGTCTGCTCTTTCAAAAGACATATAGCTTTTTCTTTGGTACATCGTTTTTAGCAAAAATTTTTGATGTTTTCCGTCACCACCTGCTTGAAAAATCTTTTTCGTTTTTTCTCAGTTCATAATTTGTCGAACGCTCAACCCAAATTTCTTCGCTCATGCTACTTATACAGGATGGTCCAAAAGTAACCGAACAGTCTTTGATTGCGAATAACTTTTGATAGGAACAAGATAGAGAGCTGCGGTTTTCATTGTTTGAAAGAGAAGAAAAACCTACATCGAATCTTGAATATCAGATTTTTATGACAATATTCACTCGGAGTCTCCAGACAACTTTTTTGACGCAAATTTTTGTGTAATGTAAAAGTTTTAGAATTTTAATTTTCAGTAGTGCATCAGAATCGTTAACTAAAGTTCAAAAGTCTGTGTAGGTTCGATGCCAAAAAGATTTAGCAAATCATTAGTTCTTAACATTTTATTAAGTGTTCTCGCCAGATTCTTGGCGAAAAGCTGACTATTTTTCTGAATTTTTTACGAAAAATCCACCTTTTAAACTTATTTAAAATGCCAGCATTTTTTAAAAAGCTTGTCTGAAAACCATGAGAAATTTGATTGTAAAAATCTGGTATTCAAGGTTCGATGCGGTTATTTCTTTTCTTTTAAACGATGAAAACCGCAGCTCTCTATCTTGTTCCTATCAAAAGTTATTTGCACTCAAAGACTGTTCGGTTACTTTTGGACCATCCTGTATACATTTAATTTTCTTTTTGTTTGAAACAGAATGTCAAAATGTGCTGCACCAAAGAGTCCTTCTTTTTAATTAAGTTTTCTTCTGCTATATATACGATCACTTGGATAAATTGAGCTTCATTTTTAGAGAGTTTTTAGACTCATCAAACCTGTAATTCCTTCTCTCCTTTCGAAAAATAAGAATTCAATAAAAAATGAGTTTTTGGTACTCTGCATCCTGACATGCTCTTTCAACCAAAGAAAATTGAATATCTCTGAAGAGTCTCGGCCGACAAATTCGGGATGCCGAATCAGCTATTTTTGAACCTTGTTTCGTAAATATCTGTCAAACATCATGATACAGAACTGAAAATTTTACCATAGCTTCTCCACTACAACCACAACATATTCTTCAAATGTCATGAGATTAGAATGATCCTGGACTGAGATTGATTTTTGAGGGGGTGAAGAGACCTTAAGCCTGAGTCACGTGTATTTAGTCTATTTTTAATGCCTCTATTTATAAGATTTATATTTCAAATTCAAACACCTAAAACAAGACGGTGATGATGCATTTGTGCATATAATTTCCATATTTCATCTGGGTTTATATCAAGATCGTTATAGATGTATGCAGCAGCAAAGAAATAAACAATTCTGAAAGAGTAAAATTTCAATGGGCAAATCGTAAAATGAAATGGGCAATTGCCCATTTGCCCCCTCCTCCCCCCTCTGGTCACGCCACTGATGCTAGGTGACATAATTCAAAGATGCAGCATATGATCAGTACTTAAGTGTAGTAATTTCTTTAAAAGCGTACAAATATAGAGCGACCAAAAATAAGAAAACAAACTCTAAGTTCTAACAAAACGTTTATTAAAATCATAGAACTAGAAAATGACACACACAATAATATGTATTTGTGTGATGTTTTTAATAGAGAAGCTTTTCACGAAAATTGCTCAATATGTTCATTCTCTAAATCTTTGCAAAGTTGTAATCGCTCAGGTACTGATTGACAAGCTCGTCAACATAATACCATTGGCAAGCTTCGTATTATTTATACGCTTTTGGATCAGCTCCAACAGATCGATACTGATCATATGCTGCGTCTTTGAATTATGTCACCTAGTATATGGAGTATAAATATGAGATCTAACTTACTATGTTCAAAAAAAAAATCGAAAAAATTATTTGTCATGTTACTTTTGGGCCACCCTGTAATGTTAGAGTAAGCAGTCTTATATGTTATAAAAATTTTGAAGATGACAAGAATTTTTGTACGAGAGAGACAAAAATGGAAGAGTGATAGAATATGAATTTTCAGTATTATTATAGTAGTTATACTATTCAGAGTGGACGTGGAAAGCGTTTAAGAATAGCTGACTTGAGAACACTGGAAGATTTCTTGAAAATTTGAAATTGCTGCTTTTGTATGTGTAGAAAGGTTAGGTAATTCAGTTTAGTAGTTTTCGCTCTTCACCAAGTTTGACTCGTGTCATTGGATCATAGACACTAAGCAATGTGCTGAAAAATGTTTTGTCTTTTCTAACCAACAAGAGTCAATGATATTTAATTTCTTTATCCGTAGACCATTAAGAAGTAGAACAGAACATGTTATCATGCCATTCAAAGTAGAATTCAAATGAAATATGAATATTGAGAAAGGGTTCAATGCAACGTAGCACGGATAGAAACCATTGAACAAGAAAAAGTTGAAGGCATGGATGTCAAAAGAAAAATATTAGATATAGATTTCAACCTAATCGCTACTTATTAAAATGGATTACAATGAAGTTTGATCATTAAGATATTAAAGTTTCTCGAAGAGTTATTTCGAAATTAAATTTTACGAATCAATTCAATTTCTTTAATTCATTTCAACACAAAAAGAGTGAAAATGTCTCGTGTAGGAATGGAATCTACAACCTTCTGTGAGTAAGACAGACGCGATAACCACTTCACTAGCAGGACTATGCATGCAGTAAAATCCACTCTTATTATTCCATGTACAGTGAAAGATGAACTAAAAAATATAACTCCTTTTCATTTCAATTGATATGAGATGTTGATATAAGCTTGATAGACTAAATTTTACCTAAGATTCAACCTGAAACATCACGACATCTGCTGGAACTTAATTTTCTGTTCGAGACAACGTACTAATGATTCTTTTGTATGTTTCATGTGGCCGATCATGATCAAGCATGCTACTGACTGTGTTGATATTGTTCTGCACTTAATTTCACTTTGTCCCCGACACTTTCATAATATTCCACCGATTTCTGCATATTTTTACTCATACTCGTTCTTGATAAATTTGTTCTCTTTCTTTCTATTAGTCACATGCTTTGCTGTTCTTCATCAATATTTACTTACTATTCTTTTACTTGCATGCTCTCATTACTACTTCCATATCTATATAATCGATCATTATAAAGACAAACGCATAGAATTCACTAAGCATGCTTCGAATTCAATCTAAGTCGGAGTCCATCGACAATGGACGACAACTGAAAGAATATGTGCCATTCAAACAAGTATGTGTAGGTGTGGATGTTGCTGAATTAAGAGAACATCCACACCAACGTAAACACGCACACCCCACCCCGAACAACCTTTTTTGTGCCATCTTACCGATATTGAAACTTGTGTGGAATGTACTATACAACTGACTATTTGTTTTTACCAAACTATACAAGTAATCGTTTAATCCTTCAGTAGGACACTTTTGAAAATCCTTTTATCCCTTAGGTACTCTTATGAGCTGGAACTGATGTAGACGTATTAAAAGTAGGAACTGTATTCGATTTTCTCTCATACTTAGGCACCATAATTGCGAGCAAAAACTGGCTAGTTTTTTCTGGTTTTTGTGCATTTACAAGTGTTTTCGGCAGTTTATGACTGCCAGAACATCGTTCATATGTAAAAATTGATGTTGGGCATTGAATCTTACCCTCTAATCATTAATAAATTAGTTCTGTAAAACAGAGAAAGCAATAAAAACCGTAATTAAAAGGTAAGAGTAAAAGCATGGCTATAGAAGATGTCACTTCAAAGAAGAAGAACAAGTTTGTGAACTTGTCATAAATCTTAGATTGAAGGAAGGACTCATCTGAAATTGAAATTACAATAGAAACATTCTAATTCAAAAATTTTATGATCTAAAGCATCTTTTAAGATAAATAAATGCGAATGAGAAATTCAATTGGATTGTTTTTTAAAATTATCCAATCCCGTTAATGTCAAAGTAATTTGTAGAACATGGGCTTTTGGCAAAGTCGAATTTTCCAAGAAAAATCAACTATCTGGAAAGAGAGGCTCGTCCTTACTATCAAAATGATTTTCTAAGAAGATTCGCGCTGAACGCAGTGGATAAACTTAGTTAATTTTTTCTCGACATTCTCTTTATGATACAATTAGGAAGGGAATAACATGTCCAGTATATCAAGCATGAATCGAATTGATCGAGTTCTGATCGAAGGACGATGAGTCTATCGATGAATTAACTTCTGCATGAATTAGAAACTATAGTTTTGAGTAATGCAAGTCTTCAATAATACATTGTTTACGGACAACTCATTTATTATATATTTTCAAGATGCGGTTCTGTCTACTACAAGTTTCAACCATTTGTGATATCATGGAAAAAAAAACATAGTATTACAACTGCTCATAAAGCAGACAATACATGGTTCAAGTCCTACAAATGGCACATATAATTTGCAGTTCATTTGGCTTTTTGTATTTGCAAGTAACAAAAATGACAATCAAACTACACTAGAAAATGATAACTGAATATATTAAGACGAAAAAGAGATCTTTTAACATGACGTAGTTCATAGCTACTTCATATATTGCATGAATAATCAATCGATACACTTGTAAATAAAACGTTCGTTGAATGTTTATGAGCACTCGTTTAAAAACATATATAATAGGTTAGAAAGTTTGTTCAGCACAGCAATATCGATTTTTCCATCTTTGTTGAAATCATAGGCTACTGCAGGACCTGGACTACTACTTGTTCCATACCGTTTTCGAATCGAAAATGTCATATTTCCATCACCAAACAGTACATCCATATGGTTAGAAAGTCGACCGAGCACTGCTAAATCCATTTTATTGTCATTATTAAAATCACCTGACATTACATAATTTGGTTCCCTATCAACCTCGTATTTTATTTGAGCTTGAAAATCTCCATTTCCCCAGCCAAATAAAATACTAATCGTATGGTCACCTAGATTGGTCACTACGAGATCCATGATCTGGTCACGATTTAAATCAACGGATATGACAAAAGTAGGGCTAGCACCACACTTAAACGTCTTATTAGTCTGGAAAGTATCATTGCTATATCCTAATAGGACCATGATATTATGAACACCTAAGCTGGTCACTGCTAGATCTGGTGTGTTATCATTGTTGAAATCACCTACAACTACAGAGCTCGGTCGACTAGCAGTCATGAACTCTGTTCCATTTTGAAAGGTTCCATCTCCATTACCCAACAGCACCATAATGGTGTCGTTGTGTTGATTGACAAGAACCAGATCTAACATCGTGTCATTATTCAAATCATAGACTACTATGAAGGTCGGTGGAGAATGAATCTTATATATTATTTCAAACTGGAAGGTACCATGTCCACTACCAAGAAGTAGAGTAATACTGTAATCAATTGTATTAGTCAATATCAGATCTAATTTGGTATCATTATTGAAATCACCTGTTGCCATCGAATCGGCTATCTTCTCGAGCCTATGCGGCATTCGACCACGACAGGTTCCATCTCCATTACCTAGTAGCAAGGAGACACTATTATCTCCCTTATTGACCACCAACACATCGATTATTGTATCGTTATCATAATCAGCTGAAGTTATCGCTACCGGATTCGCACCAGTAGCATATTTAATTTGATTTTGAAATGTTCCATCAGCACTGTTAATCAGCATACTGCACGTGTGTTCTCCAGAATTGGCTACTACTAGATCTATTTTACCATCGTCGTTAAAATCGTCTGCTCTCATAGCACTTGGAGAAGTACCAACCTTATATTTTAAAGGTCTCTGAAAGCTTCCATCACCATTTCCATATAACACACCGATGGAAGATTCATTCGAAAACGTTAATGCTAAATCCATCTGCCTATCATTATTGAAATCAGCCACCACTACAGCACTTGGATTCATGCCAATTTCGTAAACAATTTGAGCTTGAAACGATCCATCCCCATTACCAAGTAACAAACTAACACTATTATTCCCATAATTTACTACTACCAAATCTACTTTACCATCTTTATTGAAATCCTCATATGTCATAGAGACTGGTGTCGCACCAACGTTATAAGTCTGTAGATTTTCAAAAGTTGCATTTCCATATCCAATTGCTACACTGACAGTGTTATCATCTTGATTGATAACTGCCCAATCCAGTTTTCCATCCTGATTAAAATTACTCGATATGACACAGACAGGTTTGGAGCCAACGTCAAAAGCAATTTGAATATCAGAAAATGTACCTTCTTCACCACCCAACAATAAGCTAACCGTATCATCGTCAGAGTTCGCTACTACTACATCTGTGAGTGTATCATTGTTGAAATCACCTGCGGTCACTGACATTGGATTGTCACCGACTAAATATTCGATTGAGGTTTGAAATGTTTCGTTGTTATTATCAAGCAGGACGCTAACGCTGTCATCATCTCCATTCACTACTACAATATCCATGAGTCCATCATAGTTTAGATCAACATTAAACACAGAATTTGGTGCAGCATCTGTCTGATAGTAGTATTCAGCCTCATAATCATTTTTCTCATTACCAAGAAGTATATCAACACTTCGATCATCATAATTGAGCACTGCCAAATCTACGCGTTTGACATTCATAAAATCTCCAAATACTATAGCAACTGGTAATTTTCCAGTTTCAGTGGTCATTGGTGATGGATATGGATCACTGCATTGATATACTAAAACAACAAGATTCAAATTTATTGATAGTTTTCATTCTTGTTTTCGCGTGCTGTTGAATTTAACATGAGACAAGTCATCTGTTGAACAATATGGTAACATGAAAGTAGGAATCAATATTGAGAATATATCATCTAGCTGGGATCTTATTCTGGGAAATTATTTTCCATTTCACTTATTTGGAATGTACTTGGGAAAAAATTGTACCAGCTCGGGGGAGCAAGTAGAAAGAGATAATTTTTTCTAGTAATCTGTGTCGAAATTCGTTCTGAAGATACTTGAATCCATAGATGTAGGTAATGGTGTTACAAGAATTAGTATGCTTGATTAACGCTATCATTCTTCGCTTAAACTTGAACTTTGAATTTTTTCAGAAGGCAAAAGTGATCTGTTACGTTCTTTTCTTTAAAACACATTCGAAGTTCTTACTATTGTTATAATAACCATCTCAATAACCTCACAGCCTCCATCTAAAGTTAGTGCTAATGCCTAGTTAACCAGATTGTGATAGTCCTAGATGCCACATCAAATGTCCTTGATTCAATTATTCAGAGATTCACTGTCTGCTATGACTTCAGAGGATTAGGAGGCCAGAATGAAATAATTAGTAGGCGTTATACATGAAGCTTTTCATGCAGGATGTGACGGAAAAATTGTTTTTCCTGGATACTGGTATCAAGAACGTAGAAACGCATTTCTATAAAAAAATGAAAACTTTCATGATAACAGGGTTGTTGACAGAAATTGAGACAAGAAAAAGTCAATATGATTCAGGCAATAGAAGATTTTTGTATACATTTTGAATTCAAAATGTTGAATGTGATTTACACTCTCTTATACGTTTATCACTTATACAATACAATTGATAGTTTTTGAATTCGACACGAAAATTGTTTTTCATGTGTTTATTAGTAATTATTAGAACTTCTTTAGAGCTTGTCAAGGCGAACTTTTGAGTGAATTGAACACAAATTCAATCGAGCTATAGGTGTGTCGTCGACTATCTGCCGACGCATGCTCAATAAGACTAATACAAGGTAAAGTATCGAAAATTATTCTAAACGCAAATGAATGCTACATTCAAGAAAAGGCATACTTGGTGTGTTGACTTGTTTTCGTGATCCAAGAACAGAACCAATAATAATTGCTCCGATACATAGAATTATAAATAAAGACAGAGGCACGAAGAATCGCTTCTTTTTATACCAGGAACGTCTGCAAATTACAATCAGAAGTGTTCATATCGAAAACATCTGTAGGTAAAAACAAAATGAAGCTCACTTCACTTCCGGATATAGATGTGCACCTAACAAAATAAAATCTGACATTCAGAATGCAGAATTGATATCTTGTAAGTTACCTTCGAATGGAGGCTCAAGCAAGGTTGCCTCCGGTATGACTTGTTTCAAGTGAACAATATAGAGATCAGGTGCTGGACTCAGTTGTGATTGCACTATCATATGAGTACCAGGTAGAAGAAGAATCTCTTCTTCTGTAACGAAATGTGAATGGGCACGTACTGTCCGTCCATTAATGGCTTCAACAGAAAATAGAGTTCTTGCTCCTGTAGTACCCAAATACAAGTTATTCTCCAAGACAGTTAGTGATGTTGTACATGAAGAAAATGACCACCATGTCACTGTGGTACCAGGTGGAAACTCCGCGCTCAAATCTCTTGTAACTCCTCGCCAAACAGTCAATGGTGGGACACACGGAATTTTGACCAGTGCAGTCAAGAATAACTTTAGATATTTAAAATAAGGCCGAAGCTCTTCGCGATTACCACCTTTCAAAGTGTAATTGAGCATTGAATACAGGCTGCGATGTGGTCTTTCCCATTCGATCGTGTATAGACGAACGGCAGCACTCTCATCAATTGTCAACCGATCAGGTGGATTTTCAGGAGTTTCATCTAGTGCCCGTTGCACATAGACCGATAAGTTATAAAGAATATCGGCCAATGGAGCACATGCTTCAGGAAGTGGCAACAAAGGCTCCTCAGCATACCCAGTAATCGGAGAAAAATACGTGTTAACCTTGTCCAGTTCATTGAGAGCTTGTTGAATTTCGTCTACGACGATATTTCCTAAAATTTGGTACCTTTCACTCATATGTTGACCAATCGCAACACGACCATCCTCCATTATTTCTACTCTTTGTCTTTGATGTTCATCAGGTTGTTCTTCATTCAAAGCCGCTTCTCGTTCATCAGATGGGTATGATAATTGACTTTTCATCTTGCTCTTCTTACGCTTGGCTTTTCTTTCAGACTTGGCCTCACGATCCTCGTTCAACGTTACTACATGATCATTTTGCATGTTGATCTCTTCTTGGTTTATGTTTCCTTGAATATTCGTAGCTGTACCATCCAACGTGATAGCTATTTGCTGATTCGAACTGTCGGCACCTTCTTTGAGCACTTGGTTTTTCTTTTTCAACTGATCCATCTCTTTATCCATCGATGAGTAGTCATCCTTAAAGATTGAAATCAAATTATTTTCAATCGTGAAGACAATAAATAATAGCTGAAACAAAAGTTTTCCATTTATTTTTCTCGTTTGTTTCTCATTTTAAGATCTCTTAAACTATGGATCGTTATTTTTTTCCAAAGACACCTCGTCATGTCATCTAAAAACCTTATCTGTAAAGTATTTCAGCTGAATACAACAAATTTAATTACTCTAACTTCTTGAGCATCTCTGGTGACTGACAAGGTCTTCTGTAATATTCTGAGATATAGACTGCACTTTTTGTTCTCTCTCTGGCAAAAATAATAATGAATAAATAAAGCGATGCAACTGATTTAAAAATATGTCGATCTGTTTGTTTGATTATCTTCATTGAACTTACAATCAAACAATTTGAACACAGCTGGTGCATGTTCCGTGTCAATCATTCAAAAATGACTTCTGTGACATGTAAAGTACAAGGAACCCGAATGTCACTCACGATTAATTATCTCCAATGTTCGAGATAAAGAATGATGAATAATGCTCGCATTCATTCTAGTTTATCGATCTACAGGAATGCATGACTGGTGCTCCCCAGATAATTGCTCCCCGGACAGTTGCTCCCCGGACATTTGCTCTCCGGACACGTGCTCCCCAAGGACACTTGCTCCCCAGACACTTGCTCTCCAAAGATAATTGCTCCCCGGACACTTGCTCGTCAACAATAGTGAATACAATTTTTATGAGTTACAAGAGCAATATATAAACTAAATTTAAATATAGAGCACAGCAAAAGAATAAGAAACATTTTATTAATTATACAAATAATTCTAATATTATATATATTATTAGAAATAATAACAACAACAGAAAAATAGCAGTACTATTATTGAAGAAAATGAGTATAAATATATATAGTTTAAATGTAATATCAATCATTCATTTTAGAAATAACAAGAAAATGTAAATTATGAATTTTTTAATGAAATATTTTGAGCCAAACCACGTACTTTTTCGAAGTTTGTTGTTGTTGGTTCATTTAATAAGTTCAAAATATGTGCTTCACGACGAATTTGTTCACGTTTTCGTGCTTGTCTAGCACCAGTTTCTGCTTGAATAATTTGAGCATCGACATAAGATTGTTCCTTTTTTAAACCTTTTAAAAATTTCCAAAAATTTGGATGACTGCAATTAAGCAACGATGAGAATCTGTTGTTCCAACCTTCGACCACATTATTTGTTCGATGTTGACCGTGCAATGTATTCGTGTTAACATTCCATAATTCTATATCAAATTTTGGTGCTTTGCGTGGTCTTGATAAACGAGTTTTAACACCTATATAATTTTCTTCAAAATAAGTTAATACAGGTTCACCTTCAGCTGGAAATTGAGATTTAATTTGTTCAAACGTTGGAATAACATCAGTAATTGGTAAAAATGCTAATGCTGGTAAACACCGAATTTGTTGCGCAAAATCTTCATTTTCACTATATAATGTTTTTAAACCAAATCTTATAACAGCACGATAAATATTTTGACATAAATGGAAAAAACATCCATTTAAATTTGATGTCGGAAATAAACTTTTAATTGCATTCATACTTGCACGCTCGAAATCAATCATAACATTCGGTGGATCAAAATTTGGTACTAAATTTTTTATTTCTTGTAACATTGCTTTGTATAAACGTTGTTTTTTGCCTAAGAAAATACAGAAAGTTTAAAAAAGATATGCTGTAAAGTAACTCACCAGGTAATAGTATATAAACTGCAGGTAAAATATGATCCAAATATTTAACATGAATTGTATAAAGCTGGAAATACAATTCAGGAACGACATCAAATGTTCCATCTAAATATATATAATTTCCATTTTCTAATATTTTTAATTGTTTTTTTGTTGTGAATATTAACATTCTTTGGTCAATTGGTCCAGAATCGAATTGTAAAAATGTTCTATTACGATTTGTTTTCATAAATAATGGATCAATAACAAGTGAATCACGATTTGTTGGTAATGGAAATGGATTTTGATGTTTTTGACGAATTCGTCGAACAGTTCGTTTAATATTCTTTAAGTTTGGTAATGATGCAACAGCATGATCAGATAATTTGGATACACCATCAGCTACTATATCATGTGTTGTATTAACAGTTTGTTTAGCTGCATAAGTCATTTTGGTACGTGCTTCAATAATTTCACCTGATGAATGATTTGGTTCATGATTATGTTCACCAACTGTTTGTACAACTTGATCATTAATTGTATGAAGTCGACCGCGACAGTTATTATGACGATAATTACGACAACACCATATCACCTTGTTACTTGATTCTTTATTAAAAATATATAAATAACCTTGATGTTCAAATATTGGTTTTCCTTTAATAGTTTCCATCAAGTAATAAATAAATGTTTAATACTGTAGAAAAACGTTGATATGATATTTTTTAGAGGAAATATTGAGAAATGAATTCAAAAAATGTATTATCAAAATAGATATACACATTTGTGGATCAACCTAGTTGAAGAGATTAATTAATTAGAAATTTAAGCTTGTCAACACAGTACATATATTTTATTGGATTATGTTTTTCTTTGACATTTAATTAATTAGTTGTGGTGTAATAGTATAAGATTAGAGGAGTAATTAAAAGAAAGTATGAAACAGAACACAACATTGTCACTTTATTATATTTTATTTTGATGGTGGTTCTGTTGATAATCTACAGTATTTTTCTACTTTTTGTTCTGTATAGTATAATTGGAGAGCAAGTGTCTGGGGAGCAAGCGTCCTTGGGGAGCAAGTGTCCTTGGGGAGCAAGTGTCCGGAGAGCAAATGTCCTTGGGGAGCAAGTGTCCGGAGAGCAAATGTCCGGGGAGCAACTGTCCGGGGAGCAACTGTCTGGGGAGCACCAGTCCGGCTCCCGATCTACAGATGTTGTTGCGAGCGAATGAAGAAGAAATGCATTCGATGACAAAAATTCAAAATTAAGGTAGATTTTTTAAATAGGGTTAGATAGAGTATGACAAGCTGATCAAGAATATAGATGTTTTTCTTTTTTTTGGAATGAGTATTTCAAGAAAAAGTTTCAGTTTCTTCTGGTGACTCACTTTTCTGATAAATTGTCAGTTTTCTTGTTTGCTTTAGAGTCAGCGTGAAAAGTTGAACCTAAAAAGTGATTCACAAATGACTTTTCTACATTCAACTTTTTTCGCTGAATCTCAAACAAACAGTTTTGAAACTTGATGCAAACAGAAAATGGACCTATTTTTGCAAGAAAGTAGGTAATCGGAAAAAATGAAACTTCTCTGCTTAAGAATTATTCCAAAAGAAGAAAAACAGTTATATTCATGATTAGCTCGTCCACTCTATATTACCATATATCAAGTTTAAAAGAAAATAGTTCTGCTTTAATATTGTATTTCCGACACCTTTCATTAATTGTTTCCCTGTTGTTTAACTGTAATTCCACTGATTTCAAATCAGCCGCATTACTTCATTTATTCTTTGTCAAACCTTGCCTCATTAGTGTAATGAATAAGTACGAACTCAAATACATGAATCGATAGCCGATTCAAAATTCTATAAATCTATTGATAATATCTTTTTACAAAGCTTAACTTTAACTTTGTGATAATAATGAAATATTTTACAACGCAAAAATTGATCAAAAATAGGTATTTCTAGGTCACAATTTTGACCATCTTGACAATCATTGACAAGTGGACAATATCATATGTCATATCACAAACTCTTAACAAGACCTTAAAGAAAATTGTTTAATTATAGTATTACACTTTGCAACATAATAAATGAGTGAACATTATTCATCAAATGTTATATATGTATATCTAATGGTATGATGGAAAAAGGATAAATGCCGAATAAGGAAAAATATCGAAACGAACAGAATAATCATAAGAAACCGTTATAAAAAAAATGGTTAAAATATTTCTCTTCTGATTGACTCATGCCATTAAATGTGTTCCTTCTTCAGTTAAAGATATACAAATCGATCCCTCTTTATTTTAGATATGCTGATCACTATTTCCAAGACAAGATCATTCACTATTTCTCAAAAAGGCAAAAAATGTTGAATATAGACAATTTCATCTTTAAATTGAATAAGACGAGTACAAAAATTTTTTTTGATGCTTAGATCTACACTGTGCTGTAAATGTATATACTGATCTTGATGATGTTATCTTAAGCATTAAAGATGATGATTGTCATTCATCTTAACCAGAAGAAATACGAATTCGAATATTGAAACAAGCTATAAAAACGCGTGCTATAAATGAAAGTACATCTATTCCACAAATTCAGAATGAAAAAGCAGCACGAACCGATCTATCGACATTGCCAATTACTGCTTTACATATTCGTTATGATAATGATGATGTTACTCGTAATGAACTTTTAGAAGAATTATCCTTTGTTGTTGCTAAAATATCAGATAAAAAAATGGACGCTATTATTCTCCGTGAAGTAACATTCACTCAAAATGCTCGTTATAATTTATATTTACTTTTCATTTACTTAATAAAATTTGTTAGAACTTCATAAACATTATTTCGTATTCAGATATTTTAAGTTTCGATATTTTTCCCGTTCGATAACTTCTATTCGGCATTTTTTCTTTCGATATTTTATTTTCAATATTTTTCGTCAACATATTGGCTCGTCTTCTTTTCTCTGCTAGTTTAAGGAATTTTTTTTTTCATATACAAAATTTTAAAAAAGAAAAAAGATTATTCTGGATTTTTCTTTTTGTACTTGTTGTATAAATTTTGTTTTTACTGAATACTCTATTCATTAGTTTTACTTCATCGGATTTAAAAAATATATCCTATCTAACTGATAAGAAAATGATTCTTTCTAAATAACTCTTTAACGATGAATAGTCAAAGCATCCTTTATTTTCTACATTCTATGGTCTTTTTTAATTATATTTACAGGTTTTTTTTTAGCCTTTTTTGTATGATTTTATCGATGATTTATGTATGATAATAAGAAAGTATACTTACTATTTGAATCATGTTGAAATATATGGGCGTTGCCTTCTTATCACACTTAACTGTCTTTGATATGATTATGTCGATAACAAAATAATCCGTTTTTTTTTCTTATTTTTTATTTTCTTATGATTATCAATGAAGCATGACATCTTCACCAGGTAGTCAACATTTTGTGCAAGGATACGAGTTTAACCGTAAGCGTACTATTTTCTTTTTTTTTTGTTCTTCATATTCTTTTCTTCCTTTCATTTGTCTTTAATTTTATAATAGACAAAATATGTGTTGATCTTACAAGATTCAAACGCATGATAATCTATTCTTAACAGGACATTGATCGATATAATAATTTTCTATTATCTTTTTGAGTAGTTAGAAAGAATCCGTGTCAGCTTTGGGTAAATTTGTGCTACCTAGACATCTTATAAAAATGAAAAAAAAAATCATTCTACGAGTGATGGTACGATAATGACGATGTATTCTGACCAATTAGTGTCATGGATTTCAATACAACTTGGTATCAAAGTAGATGAAAAGCAGTTTAATTTCAATTTTACATATATTACTGAAATTTTCGACCTTTACGAATACGATCATCATCAGCAATAAGACGCCATTTGTGATCTTGAGTTTATTTCAAACAAACAAACAATAACTATTAGAACAAAATTAAAACAACAAGAGTTATATTATCATATACAACAAAAAAAAATCCATGTAAACATAAACATAATACAACTAACATTCAACATTTAAACCTGCTCAGATATAAATAAATATCTTTAATCAACGAAAAATGATATTTCAACCATTTAATTCTGCAACAATATAATCAATAAATAAGAAATAAAATTTTCAATGATAAAAATAATATATCATAGTAAATAAGATGCAATTTAATTTAATACTTTGTTGTTCGAGTTTTTTTTTCCAACAGTTATTGTTTGTTTATTTAAAATAAGCTCAAGGTCAAAAATGATATCTTATTGCTTGATACTTTGAAAAACATAGAAACTAATATATTTACTTGTCTTTAATTTTTCTAGAATTGATTTACATCCTTTTATTATTCTAATAATATGAAGATATATTAAACTAATCATTAAAACCTTAGAAATTATTTTATATCTGAAATTAATAATAGTTTACTGATACAATTAAAATATGTTGCACTTAATAGTATTTTTTTTTGGTGTGAAAATTGATGCAAATTGCCTGTGTTTTTTAACAAAAAATACTTTTTAATGAATTCTTTTGTTATGTGATAATAGAAATCTTTATGTGACAAAAATTCGTCTCTAGATCATAATTCAATATAATTCAATTGGAAATTCACAACCTGTAATTCAGATAAATTAAGTTTGTCTGAATTGGATAATTGAAAGATCATCACTTTGATTTAACTCTAGTTAACAAGGTATTCTCTACTAAGAAAACTCTAATTGAATAAATATTTTCTAGATAATATCTTCTATGAATCAACTTAAACGACAATTCGATGAATACGTATCATCTAATGAAAACATTTTGGTCACAATGAATTAGATTAAAAAGAAATTTTGTTTTTCATTCTTTCAGTTTTAACATTTCATAAGATTGAAAAAATGTATTTAATATATGTATTTAGTTTTATTTTAATTTTTTGTAGATTGTATGATTTTCTCATTGAAAATTGATCTTTATGATGAATAAAAACAATTTCGAAACTTAATAGCTGATTTTTTTTGTTTCTAGTCATTCATATTGAACGTTCAAGTAGGAGAGGAAGCGGTAGGATGCGTCAAAACTGTACACAAGGAAGGAAAGAGAGGTGGAGTTCGACGGTTTGAAATAACTAGAACCGAATTGGAACCAGAGAAAAAAATACATTTTGGAACTGTTAAATCTATCTCGAAAAATTTTCAAGCTTTTTTTTTCATTCATGAAACTAAAGGTTTTAGTATATATTCATAATATTGATTTTGTTTAAGTGCTGAAATATGTGGCGTTTTTTATCTTAATGATTGAATAGTGAAAATATCTCCAAATAGATTTTCATTCGTTTCCATTTCACGTGCTATTTTGGGAACGAATCAGAATCCTCAAACTCTAGAGAGATGGTCCAACATTTCTGGGCATCTAGGCATTTACTATGCATATCATCCCTTTTTTTATACACCTGCCAGCAAAATGTTGAAAAGAATTTTTAGATGGGAAATGAATTGAATGCATCATTTGAATATGAATTCGATGTTGAAATAATTGGAGATTATGCTACATGCATAGACATCTATTTTCTGAGAAGTGCCATTGGTATTTCTTCTGTTAATTAAAATCGATGTATTTTTATAAAAATTACAGTCGATTATACTTTTGTATGTTGTTTATGAAGTGTGTGTC